AAATAGCAATGGCAGCAGTAGTGAAGAAAATGAGTTTGTTTAGAAAAGAGGGGGGAACCGGAAGGAAGTTCAAAAGCAGAAGTATCTGTCAGAGTTCATATATGACTGTATCTGTCCTTTATAGAATCAGACCTTTAATCTTTCTGGCTCAGAGCTGTCTAAGAGATCTTCCACTGTTTTGCCAGCCAAGAACTTTAAATGGAGATACCAAGAGCTGTTGGCAGAATCTGTTCTTAAGACAGGCAGTGGGGAAACCTTTTAGAAAATAGGTCATTCTCAAGAACTGTGTCAGTAAAGAATAAAATAAGACTCCCCTAATTGGTAGACACTGCAGTGACTGAGATTTATTCAATGAGCATTATGCTGATGAGCAACATATCATGTTAACTGTAGACATACAATTTATCATCTTTGGAATGCACAAGCTCTAGTGTTTTGCATCTGGAAAATGAAGCAACTCCTGGAGATAGTATTACTTTTAACCAGAAATTACATTTCATTATTACATTGGTCATAACCTACATACTGAAAATGTGTGAAATATTTGTCCACATTGAAAGTTGAGTGGGCGTTCAGATAATGTGAATTCTTGCTCATGTATCATGAGCTTACTGAAATTAGGTAAACCCTTCCCCACACAAAATAATAATCGTAGACCATGGCTATAACAATGCTAAGTAAGGAGACCTCACTTAAGCCAGGATATGCATGTGTAGCATTTGTCTCTCATCTTGTGTGAGCAAGGAAGCCAACCAGGGAACCACCATTTACTATGGGTTGCCATTATGTGCAAATGGACCCTTATGGTTAACTGCTTCCAAGGAAGCCAGGATCATAAACTAGCTTTAAGCAATAACTTAATAACTTAAAGGAACTCAACTCCTTCCAAACAAGTCAAGCTAGTTGAACCATTCATCAGGTGATCTGTGTGAAAATGAAGTTCCTTCACAAGTTGCCCCTTTAGGGGGAAGAAACCAGTTGATCATACACCTAGATGCTTTATCATAATATACCATAAAGAGATTCATGATTAGATTTTACTTTTATCAGTTATAATGGAGAATTTATTAACCTTGATGTGACTGGGGTTGGTTACACTTTTCTGTAATACACAAATTGAACTGTGGTTTCTCTTTTCATGCTTCTAAGATACAGTCAGAAGGTCAGATCCATTTTATTGCATCGGAAAAAGTAGTTTTTTTCCTCACTTAGGGAAAAAATTACCAAATGAATTAGCCTGAATTGGGGGCATTAACACTTCTTTAAAAAAACTATTACCTCTGGCTATCTCACACTACTGTATATCACACTTCAGTTTTACATTCATGTTCAAATTGTGCTTGGATTAAACCAATCTTAGCCTAGATTCTGTAGTGTTGTGCAAGTAAATAGTATATTTGGATGGAATACTATTATATCTGCTGCAGTACAGAATGGATAGTATTGCTTGTTTCACATGGGGTTTTTTTTTGGGAAAAATTAGCATAATATCCATCTTCAGAGTGTGGTTCTGGTACTTACACATGTCTAGCAGATGCCATATATGATTCTGGTTTCTCTCTGTCCTTTCCATTGTATAACATCATTCCACCTTTTAAAAGATGTCTGGTATTGTCTTTTTGAGAGGAACTTCCACGGGTATTCTTACAGTGTTACATCTGCTTAAGGATCTTGCTGTAGTGCAACAAACACTTGAGTGGTATTCCCTGAGGACACAGCTATTTTTGGTGGCAAGTTTCTTTTATTCTCTCGATAAACACAGTTTTTCTCAATCTTGATCATGGGTTTACTCATTTTAATCCAGGGAAAAGAATAACATTGCCTACAAAGTGCGTTAAGGAATTATCTTCTAGGTTTAGAAAAGGTGAAACCAATAATTTGTAGAAGCTGCTGCTGCTGCTATTATACAAAATGGGCCAAAAGTAGATATAGAGTACCAAGTGGGTCATGGAGAAATTGAAGGAGTCCCATCTCGCAAGCAGTGATCAACACTGGTGCTATGTGTCAGTGTCAGCTTCCAAGAATGTTGCAACATCGATGGAGGACATTTCATGCACCTAAGAGACTAAACATGACCCAGTCAGTACTGTGTACCTACTTTTGGCCCACCCTGTGTATGTGTGTAAATATATATACATAATACATATAATTATATATTAGTGGAATATAGTCTATGCTAATACCTAATTGGCAGTTTTAGAATATCAAAGTTTTTGAGAGGGAGGAATGGTTGACAGTTGGAAAATTTAAAACAACATTTTTCACTGGTATCTCTAACAAAGCTGCATCATTTGATTATGTCTAGTGGGCAGTTGTTCCTGGGCAGATGGGCTGGCTCCCCAGTGTAACACATGGAAGAAAACCAGTTTTGCAAAACTGGTGATATGATTTTTGTAGTCTTTCAATTCATCTCATCCCCTACAATGATACAGACTAGGAGGCAAGATATATTTGGCAAATCTGACAAAACCTAACATGGTCTGTATGTAATAATATATTTTGATAGGGTATTTTTGCAGTGTCATCATACTGCTGAGAGTCAGGTTCTATCTTGGCTCATCCTAGGCCCCAGGTTTATATGACCTAGAAAATACATGGGGGGTGTGTGAATGTATTTTTAGCACAATTTCAGAGAATAATCAAGGTTATAAATCAAGTAGTGCAGGAAGCCTTTAGGGAAATCAAGTCACTTTCAAAAGTAAAGAAATGTCAAAGTAGCATGGCCTTTTGGTTTCATACATTTGGTTAAAAAGTCATTTTGGAACTATGTATCCTACCATTCCTCCAGAGATTATCTGCTTCTACAAACTTTGCAATTAGTGAGTTCTCATGTTCCAGAGATCTCCTAAAACTCTTCTTTACTGACTCTTTACATAACTCTTAAGAGTTATGTATATCCACCATTCAGCAGATCAGGCAGTGTAATAACATCCTTGCGTTAATCAGCAACTAAGATTTATATCTGTAGCATCCCACTGATAGAAGCTAAAATAAGCACCATGACGTTTATATTGGTTGTGTGAAAAGCACCTTAGTGTAGATGTAATCATTTTTTTCTAGGATGATTTCTAAGTAACACTGTACAGCATTTCTATTTTAAAGTGGCGAGAGTGTGACGGTTTTTAAAATAAACATGAAAGAGACTTAGCATGGAATGGTTCATTCACACAGGGGAAAATGCTCCGTGTCCCAATTTACCAGTTACCCTATGTGTGCAGTGATGTTTTACACATGCAGAAAACCTATTCCGCATATGCAAATCCTTGACCTCACTGCATTATAGGAAAAATGTGATCCTACAGATTGTCAAGTGACCTGTGTGCTGCTGCAGAATGACTTGTACAGATTGTGAAGCAGTCCCACTGAATTTAGTCGATGTGCCTACTACTACTGAACAAGTCAAAACCCTTGAAAAGAAGATCCCAAACATTTGGGGGTAACAGCTGTAACCCCTCCCCCCAATATTGTTATGATTTAGCATCCATTTCTGTGCATCTTTGGTGAAAATGCATCGCTGCAGATGATACCTGTGCTGCTGCACAGAGAATATTGCAGTAGGCAGCTTTTTGCATACCTATATATTTGGACACTTCCTTTTCCTACCTCCATAGCAATAAACAAATTTGTTGAGAGAACTGTTTTATTTTGCACTTCAGTCAGTTTGTAGAAAGCCTGCTAAATGTTACTCTGTGTTTTACCTACTTGCTCAAAACAGGTTTAAAATAAATTCTGCTTAGGGAATGAGTTGACACCAATGCATATGAATTTCCATGGATTGCTACCTTATCTATACTGTATTATGTTACCCCTAGGAAAATACATATGCAAAAACTGCCTTTTTTAAGATGTTCTGTCACTATATTTAAAAAGTTTCCATTATGTGTAGACTAAAGTGAACTTGGTTTGAAGAATTCTATTTTTGTGGACCTCTAGATGAATGCTATGCTTTGACAATAGTATTATAACCATATATGGGTTGTCTGCACTGATAACTCACAACACAGTAAAACATACACAGACGGTATGTATGTGCATACATGGACATTTCACATAGTTACTTCACAGCACAGTCAACTTGTTTTACGTGCAGGTGGTGCACGTATTCCACCTGCACCAACTTCTGAATGAGGCGGGAGTTGAGAGTCAGTATAACCTCTGGCTTTAGCACATTAAGCATCATCATCATCATCATCCCAATTTAAAAATGAATTGATGTATACCATCCCAGGGTGCCATGAAATGTATGCAGAGAGAAATCTTAATGCCGGGACTCAACCACTACGGTTACTGTTTGTGAACATCACTGAGTCGCATCCAGTGGTGGTGCAGCACTGATGCTGCTAAGGATGCTGTGCCAGTGTGAACCAGTGCTGATGCAACGTCCTCCGTGCTCGCCAGGGAAAAGGGAAACCCTGGTTTGCTACTGCAAGCGCCATTAGTACTAGCTCTGCACCACCATTGGGTACTATCTCTTGTTTTGTGTGCCTCCTTTTCTGGTTCCCGGCTGTCTCCCTTCCATTTTGCCCACTTCATTTTTCCAAAAGGTGATGCTCGTGCTCCAGGAAACTATATTCCATAAGGTGTGTAACTTTTCTCTCAAGCCTGTTGATTATTCTGGTGGAATTTGTGAATCACGAACCCCATATCCCCCATTTGCAGGCCTGTCGGTGGTTTAATATAAAAGCCAACAAGCTGGATCTGGAAAGGAGACAGAAAGCAAGTTCTGCCCATTCATTCTGAGGGAAACCTCAGTCACTTCATTGAACATTCAGTGTGCATGAAAGGAAAAAGGCAGTATGACGGATGGGGACCACAATAGGCTGTAACAGATACTTGCTCACAAGAGGGCAGTGGGATACATGTGCTGTCTAGGAACAGAATGTCAAATGCACTGTACAGTGTGCTTTTGTATTGCCCAAATATTTGTGGGCATATCATTTTCCTGTTGAATAACTCTAAACTGAGTGCCAGCATTTCAACTCTATGCTATATCGTTTCAGACAGTAATATGGCAAAAGACCAGGGTATCAGATCACAAAATGGCTTTCATGGCAGTTGTGGGAACTGCTGTTATGGGCAGCATGGTGCCATTTCAACGCTGTGGTCAAGATCCTGAGGTAAGTTTCTAGTCTGCGGCCTGTATCCAGTGGTGTCATTCCAGAAACTCAAATAATGTTCGCACCGTTCTGTCGAATTTGTTGCACGAGCTCTTGCACATCATGCTCGCCTAAGTGGTCATGCAAGAATCTGCATGAGTAATTGGGCAGGTAGTTAAACCAGCAAAGGAAAGATTTGGCACAGTACCGCTAGTGCTACTTGCAACCTAACTTTAGCTGGAACACCCTAATGTCCTGTAAAGGAATCCTATATGCATAGTTTTGAACTAGTTTTTGCCAACACTTTCTCATTTGTGCTGGTGGAGTGACACAATTGGGATAGATTCTGCCGTGCATGTCCATTTCCCTGCTTACTTCATCCCTTCAGCAAATTTTTGAGTTGTGCCTTTTTAAAAAGAATTATATAAAAATAGGTGCTAGATTTATATTAGGGTTGTTGTCGTGAGAAATGTCATTCCTGCTCTACTGCATAGTGAAAATGCATACCAAGAATGTATTAATGCAGTATTATATAGATTTAGTTCCATTATTTAAAGCATCTTCCCCTAGGCTAATGATCCATAGGTATATGATAGAAATTTTTGAGGGGTATCTGTGTAGAGGATCAGCTCACACGATAGACTGCTATGCCCTAGAAATTTGAAGTGGAGGAACCATAGCTCAGTAGTCAGTGCACGTACTTTACAAGCAGAAGGCCCTCAGTGTGAATGCCGACCTCTCCAGATAGGACTGGAGAGCCTCTACCAGTCAGTGCCAGTAGAACTGGGCTAGCCGGACCAATGGTCCGACACAGTGTAAGGCAGCTTCCTGTAGACAAGCCCCTTCCCAGTAAATCCTCTTGAAATCCATGGGGCTGCCGTCCAAGCCACTGCGCTCCTGATCAGGGTGTGGACATTACTTAAATTACTGTTCCTGTGGAGATTACTTAAATGAATACAATTGTGAATAGTCCTTAATGTGCCGTGTTCCTTAGTTTCCGATTGGCTTGTGGCTGACGTGCTTTGTATCAAGGTTTCTATACTGCTCCCGTTGATATGATGTTAATGGGTGACCTTTCTTCTGCATTCCTCAGCTTAACTCAGAAATCATCTGAGTCACCACTACCTCCCTAAATTGGATGAACTTGGATCAGTTGCTGAGCAGTCTTGTGGAGGCAGCTCTTCCATTCAGCCCACTGGGCAAAGCACCGAAGAAACTGTCGGGAGGCAAACCCCCAACTCTTCCTTTAGGGAATCCTTACACCTAAGAAGCTCTGCTATGGTGTGGGAACTCTCCCCATAGTAGCACTTTCCCCAGGGGCACCTCTTCAAAGCAGGGTTAATCCCCCAAATAGTCTCGGGTTCACACTTTAATCTGAGTTGAAGTCAAAGCCCAAGTCGTAAACTTTAGGATTACAGGACCTGTTGGAGCACCCCTCCCAACCACACTCTACTCAAACACTATGCTCAATCTCTGGGGCCTTCCTCTGAGTTCTGAGGGAGGCACAGAGGGTGGTAATCGGGGTGGGGGGTGGGTTGCTTGTGTTGGGCGTCTGCTTATGGAATAACCTCCCCAACGTGACCTGAATGGCATTGACTTTGTCATCTTTTTGGTGCCAAGTTAAGCTGGCCCTCTGTGCTGAGGCTTTTGAAGTTCTATCTGGGTACCTGGGGGGTTGAGAAATTGCCCATCTCAGGTGTTTACAGAGTCTCTCTGGAATATTGTTTGGTTTTAACAGTTCTAAATTAAATTTTTAATGTATTTTATTTTAATATCAGTTTTTATTTTAATATTTGTATTGTGCAAATATTTGTATTTCATATCTATTTTATGAACTGTGATAAACCACCCAGAGAGCTTTGGCTGGGGGCAGTATAGAAATGAAATAAATAATAACAATAAAAATGAATTCATAGGTTGCTTATGCTTGCTTCTCTCTGAAAAACGTATAATTCATATCCCCCCCCCCTTCACTTCCATGCTTGAGCCTGGCAATGGGTGCCCCCTCTCCCAGCATCTCTAGCATTTAGGGTTATATATGTACTGATTCTAGTCATGGTGATCAGATGATCTTGTAACTATGATCTGCAAACCCACTTGAAAGGATAGTTTCAAATTGCAGGTCATAAGGAAATCAAGACTAGCTTAAGTGTAACTGCATTGCAGTAAGTGCTGACAAGGAAAGTAGGGGACTACTGGAAAGTCACTTGACATCCACTCTTTTTTTGGCATTCAATTATAATTGAAGATTTCGCTCTGAAAGGTCTGTAACATCAAGCAGATAATATGGGCAAAGTTTTAAGATTTGTTCTGTGAGTTTTTTATTTTTACTGGTTTTTCCTATTCATGATGTTTAAGTGCTAGCTATAGGCAAAGTGATCACATGGCCTCTGAGCAGCATTTAGACGGCCACAGCATTGTTCAATTTCGCTGTTCCAAGGCTGGGAAATCACTCCAGCCTTGGAGCGTGGGATGCATGGTTGGCCCCTCTTCCCTTCTGGTCCTCTCTCCTCCCACAGCTAGAATCTAAAGAACTGTGCTGGCTGAAAGGGTTTAGTGGACAATCATGGAATGGGAAAAGAAGGAGAGAGATGCCTCAGCATCCTTCCTTTCCCTCCTGAAGTGCAATAGTTAAAAAGCTGAAACCAGTGGCGCTACTGCTTTGTAAGGTGAGAGAAGAGAGGTGGTAACTTTTATCTCTGGACTGCTTCTGCCTTGCACATGATGCTTATAATTTTCCAAGTTCAGAGAGCTATGTCCAGCCTTACTGGATTGCATCCGCAGTCAGTCTTATCTTCCTTTATTAAAAAGTACAGAGCAAATTTTTAATGTGATAACTACTAAAGTTAGATTTGACACAGATAATGACCTGTAGGACCAGGTAGTGACTTTCAGTCTTTTCTGCATTGAAATCTAGTGCTGTATCCTCTACATCACCTTTCTCAAAGTTACTGATTGTAAGTTATCTCAATTTTAATTCAAAAAAGGTGATTTAGAAGGGTTTTAAAAGTAACTACCATAAAATCTACAATCCTTTCTGCTTTCTAATCTGACATATTTTTGTGCATGAATTGAACATCATCAGGATCAGTGTTTTCCATCCTGATTTTACAGCTCTTTCATTTCATTCCTAGGTACTTATCAGTGGCTTCCTTCCAAAGCCTGATTCAGATGGTTGTTTGACAAGTCATTCAAATTCAGAGAGAAGCTTCATCTTTGTTAACTATCGACCAGTATATCAAAAGGAAATTCTGAAGGTACTGCTGTACCCAGGGGCTGAGTAGGATTTTAAACTTTGTATGACAGTCCACTTGGTTGTATCGCCAACTGTTTTTCAATCTTTCAATTTATTTTCAGAATTGCTTTACAGTATTAGTTGCATGACTCTTTAGATCCTGGCTTTTGGACATCAAAAAGGAGTTTTCACAGTTAAAATAAGTTAATACTTATAACTATAGCTTCTTCTCATGGATTAATATTCTAATAGGCAATTAACTGGTGACAGTAACTTTCTCTCTTGAAATCTTAGATTGTACAGAAACAATGCTCTGTTATTTGGAGCACCTTGATTGTCTTGTCAAATGCAATTATTGTACACAAACTAAGTGAAATATCATTATGTTACATTAGCATTTAATCTTACCTGCAAAAAGGTTCCTTTAGAAAAAGTTCAAAACCTTTGAACTTTTTACAACAAACTTTTAACAAAAAGTTTTGTTAAACTTTTAACAAAACCTGAAGCATTCCTATTTGTAGCTATAACCCCCCGCATATATGTTGGAATAATTACTGCTCTTTACGTACTAAAAAGATCAATATAATCATGTATTTCATAACTTCCGAACTGTGAAATTCTATTTCAACCATATTCTTTTTGGCATATATTTTTAGCTGGCTCAACGGTACTATAATCACAAGTTGCACAGGGATGCTAATCGTTTGTATCCTGTTTTGTTCATCAATATTACTGTTCCTCCATTTGCTTTGGATGTTAACGTGACACCAGATAAATCTCAAGTATTGCTGCATAATAAGGTATACTATAGTGGTGTGTGTGTTTGTGTAACTAAAGCTTTTCAATAATGGCTGTTTCCAGAAAAAAGGGTTTCTGGATCTGCTGTTTCTTTGGTATGAGTTAGTTTTAAAATGTGCAGAACCAAGTCCATTTCTTATGGCTTTTGGTTTGGCTTAATTACTCTGTAACTAACCAGTATTCATTATTTTTGCAATACTTCTGGATTTTCTTTTTAGGAGTCTATATGTCTTGCTATTGAAGACATCTTGACATCAGTGTATGGACCTCTAACTGAGGCTACATCTTGTGAAACTGACATTACAGATGCTATCTTGGAAGACATCTTTGCTAATGGAATGGAACAAATGATTAGTCCTATTAATGAAATGGAATCCTGTAGTGACATAAATCCTCACACATGTATGCCATTGGCTTCACTCAATAAAGATGTTCAAAATGGTGAAACAGAAAAAAATGCAGACATCAGTTTGAAGAACCAAACACTGTGTCATAATTCCTCTGGTGATCTTCCTGGCGAAATAGAAATCTCTAGCAATGAGATGGTTGGGTATGATAGATTTCAAGATGGCACACTAAATAATTTTCTATCTCAGGACGAACAGAGTATGTCTAAGGAAGTATTTAACCTTGACAGCAGAACCTTCATAAACCCTTATTCTAAAAATAGCATCAAGGGAGATTTGAGAAATGACAGTTTTCAAGAAGCAGAAAAAAGAGAAGGAGCCATAATCCCAAAAGATTCTTCAGAAGTCACTGCTGATAAATGGAGTATGGGAAATGCGTTTAAAAATTCCAGAGAAGAGAACCTGGAGCCTATTCAGATATTGATTCCTGGAATGAAAGAAGCAAGACCCCAAAAGAAAAATGATGTAGATAACCAACAGAAACTTCAAGAGGAAAATAATCAAAGTATTAAAGCATCAAATGTAGTAAACAATAAAGTGGGACAAATTACGGCCTATGATTTAATTAGAAATCAGACAATAAGGAAACCTATGTCAGCATTTGCCCTTTTTACTCAAGACCATCGTCTTGGATTGTTGACTGAAAATATCAAAATAAGTACAGAAGAACTAATGCTAAAACTAGAAGAAATGTGGAAAATGCTGAGTGAAGAGGCAAAAAAGAAGTAAGTTTGCAGATTTCACATCTGTTCACCAAAAATGAACAGCAGGTTCAATCTTGTGTTATTCAGAGTGTTCAGAAATAACCTATCTTATTCATTTCAAATGCATAACAGAAAGTGCTTTTGGTTTGAAGTTATAATGTGTTGAATAGCTATTTATGTACAAAATAATTATCTATCGTCTACTAAATGTTGCAGAACAAAGTTACTGCAAATTTGGGATATTTTTCCTTTCTAGGGACTGGACCATTTTAATTTCTCCCATAAAGGTGATTGTGTTTTTTTACTTCATGTTTGCTTGGGATTTATTGTAAATTAATTTCTTGAAAAAATACCTATAGCACTATGTAAATATATTAGAATATTATAATAATAAATTGTGTTCTATGTTAATAATAACATCTGATTGATTAATAGTAGCAATTAAAAGCAGTGAAATGACCATAAATTCAGTCCAAATGTACTGCTGGTATTTATTGTTAAGCAACACTTGGTACTAATAATTGGCATATGAGAAATAAAACAAAGATATTAAAGTGGAGTAAGAAATTGTATTTGAATCATTCCCCAGACAATGGTTTCTGTTCGGGAGGCAACAAATTCTGTGAGAATACCATACCAGCTTTCATATGCTCATTTTTCTCTCTCCTTCATTTCCTCTATACCCTTTCTCTTTGCAAGGTATGAAGAGAAAGCTGAGAGAGATCTGGAGCGGTACAACAGGCAAAGCGAAGACGCTATGATTCAGAGTTTGCAGAAATCAACCAAAGGAAAAGAAAGAAGACACAAGGTCAGACTGAAAGATTCTCTATCTCAACAGGAAAAACTTGATAAACTTTTTCATTCTCAAGCAGAAAAGAAACACAATAATCGCCAAGCAATAAAAATTGTACATGTCCCCTTCTCAATGGATACATTGAAACATAAACTTGATTTCCTTGAACAAAAAGAGTCAGACAAAGATGAACGTTGCCTGCTTCAACTTCTGAATTTTCCTGAAGCATGGATAATTGCTTCTGAGAAAGAGGTTACGGTGTTGAATCCATATCGGGTAGAAGAAGCCCTGCTATTTAAAAGACTTCTTGAAAATCATAAACTGCCAACAGAGCAACTGGACAAACCAATTGCACTAACTGACAGGTAAAGTGAAAATCAAAGCAACTTTAAAAGCTGATAATCTAAAGGTGTTTTTATTATTTTATGGTACTTTAATATTAGAAATTATGTCACTTGTGCATTTAATGGTATTTGATAAAACGGAAAACTGCCCAGAACATAGTGTGGTTCTGCACTCACTCAATAATATCGTTTTGCATTGTCATAGTACATACTATTCTGGATGGTTGACAGTTTGACATAGATATGAGCAGATGTGTTGAAATGCAGCATCTCTTAGATGGTGTTTACAGTCTGAGCTGCTGTTTGTCCTTAAATGTCAACATCATTTTTAGATGGCAGGACTTCCTTTTAGATGGAAAGACTTATCTAATATGACTGTTGATACAGATTTGAGAGATTCCTTGCATGACGTGTATTTTGAAGTGTTGTGAAGTAGTTTTCCCACTTTTGGATTAATTAGCCTTACATGGGGAAATAAAGCAATGCTTTTCCTGCATGCATGCATTCTGTCTTTTTTAATGAAGCTCACATATTGGAGTTCTTTCATGACTGTGTGCATTTTGCCTCTATTCCATTAATATTCCCAAAACAGTTTTAGCTTTTAACCTATTCATGAAGAGGTTTAACATTTCTCCACTAAAACAACAGTCTCTCTATGAGACAATTAACCATGAAGAATTGGATACACCTGACAAGGGGCCTAAAGTACAGAAGTGGATATAAAAGAGGCATCAACAGCAAACCTAACGAACATGAGTAACCCAGTCACATTGTTGAAGTGCCTCTTTTCAGTTGTCTTTAGTGATGTGCTCTACTGAAGGAGTCTTGCTGCTACCCACTCACAATCACTGCAGGCCAATTTTTTCCCATAAATTTTGCCTTTACAGAAAAAAAAAATCAATGCCTAATGGTTTTCTTTTCTTGCTTTTCCTGGCACCAGCTGTTCTGACCTGGTCTGGGGAAATAAAAGAGCTTGAAAATACAAACAAATAACAGAAAGGAGAAAGAAAGCGAACAGTTCACACTTACTCTTTTGTACCTGAGCCTCTAACCAGTAAAATGGAGGCTCTGGCTGCAATTACAATCAGTTATTTGTATGAATTAGAGAGCTCTAACATCTGCTGGGGATGCTCAAAGCTGATAGAAGATTTGCAGCATAATTGCTGCCAAAGGTGCTTCTACCAGGTATTGACTTAAGGGGATGAATACTTACGCAACCAACAAGTGCCAGTTGGTTTTGTTTACTTAAACTTCTGTTCCACAATAGAATTACTTTGCCTCTTCAGATGTTGAGTATCTTGCATACATCAACTGTTAACCATGCAAATTAAATGTATCTCAATTCCAGATTGTAACACAATGAAATGTGAAAAAGCCAACAGGGGAGGGGGTAAATAATTCTGCAAGGCACTGTATGCACTGTGATCTTGGGACTCTCTTAATTAAAATGCCATTCCCTATCTCTTGTTTGAAAAGATATCTTACTTTGAATTAATTTTCAGTCTTTTTAGTGGCTGTCATTACATGGAAGTTCTTTGCAATATGACCAAAGACAGTGTAAGATTTGATGGATCGTGCTATTTGTTGGATTCGAGACTTGTAGCAAATGGATTTAAGATAAAGATGATTCCAGGTACGAAAAAGCTTCATAACATGGTTTTCATAAATCACAACTATGATTTTTGGTATGTGTACCCCTTTTATGTTGTAACAGAATTAATTATGGCGCTTGTGGCTCTTTACCATTTTTTGTCAAAACAAAATCTAGGTTTTTATAGTGAGAAGAATGGTGGTGTTGTGTGACAGAGGCAAACTGGGGAAGATAATGGCAAACCTATACGTTTAAACTGAGATTTGCCTTGGGGGGTGGGGGATGTCCAATTTAAAGTGGGAAATTAAAGTGTGTGGGGAAGGTGCCTGGATCTTTCCGCTTGACTTACATATGACTTAAGCGTATGAAGGGCTTATAGAACAATCACAGAAATCTCTTGGGAACTCTTGCATTGCTCACCTTTATATGCTTTGAATGGTTATATGTTTGTATCTTAGAATATCTGTTTTGTAGAAAAAATTGTTCCCTGTTCTTAAATTTGTCTCTGCAAGTGTGTATTAGAAAATTGGGGGGGGGGAGCATTGTATGCATTTGCAGGATACCTGTGAGATATCCAAATTGTACATGTAATTTACACACTCATATAAATGTTTGAGTATATTACAGTCTTAGTAGTAAGGAGGTGTTGGCTTATATAGTTTGCTTTTAATAAATAAGGTCAATAAATAAATAAATATGATCTATGAACAGTTTCCTGTATAGGACTCAGATGGACATGAACAATTTAATTCTTTTACACACTTAACTTCTTTTTTTCCATGCTTGCTTCAAGTTTTTTAAAGCAACTGAGCTTTCATGGAGATTAGTCTTTTTCTTTTCTTTTGTCTTTCCTGTTTGTCCAAATAAACTAGCCAAGGAATTTTTGGTTGTTAGAAATAGATGCCCCTTTACTGATTCTATAGATAATACTAAGAGGAAAGTACAACAACCAGATTTGTGTTATCTCTGGCATTTGGAGTAAGATATGAATGATGCAGATGCCAAAAAGAGATGAGGTCCAACTGTGTTTAGTAATGAATTTTTTACTGTCTTAATACCACAGCCGTATGCAGGATATTAGATTTAGGAACGCTTTGGATGCCAGTTGGGAACAGTGATGAGTGCTACTTCAAATAGGAGCTGCAGAAATTAGCAATGTAGTCAATACTCTAAGCAGAAAGTCTCTCAGAATGCTAGAACACAAGCTCATTCAACAGTGTCCTTAATGTATGATGACAATTGCCCTGGGATTATGTGGCTAATAACATAAACGGCTTTAAAAAGGAACATTAACTTTATGCAGAATACATATGACAGGAATGGAACTGCCATCTTCAGAGCTTCTAGGCTTTTGGTTGAACATATTCTCAGAACAGTTGATGTTTATCGTTGTCTTGTCTTACCTGTAATAAATGTCTGGTTATCCTCAGTCAGTTGGGCTAAATGGAGCCATGGTTTGACCCAAGATAATAGACCACATCAATGTCTAGCCTAACAAGTGTTGTTGTGGTAAATGCCTTCTTTCCACGCAGTCATTTATCATTTTCCCCTCTCACTCCATCATTTGTAAACACTATTATCAATTGTAGACCTTTTAAGAAATGTAGTAGTTTAGGAATGTTTGCATTACACAATGCGTTTGATGGCTTTTCATTTTTGTTTTGATTTTTAGTTTCTTCCCATTTAATTTACTCACATGAAACACTGCTGTCTTTCAGTAATGGTGACCACTATTTTTGGCAAGCGTTGCTAAAATGCAAGGTACAGGAAGGCACAGCCCCATTCTAATATGCTTTATGATCATATTTCGTTCCTCTTGTCCCTGTGTAGTTTTGTTTCCAGATTTTTATGCTAGTGAAAAGCACTGGTGTGATGTGGAAGAGGCAGGCCAGACTGCAGACCTGACTTGTTGCCATAGCCAGGCTTGCAGACTCTCGTTACTCTCCAGGCATACTGCAGACTTCTGCTACCTGTGCGCCTGATTAGACACCGGTGTTTTTGCAGCCATATTTCCTAAACTTTCAACAGAAATGTTTCAGTGATAAATTTCTGATAAACTTTTGTTTTGACACAACAATGTGGGAAGTTAGTTTTAACGGGAATATGATGCCTAGATGGTAACTCTCTTGGTCCAAGCAATGATTGGCTGCGAGTTCCTAGAAATGCTATAGCTTCATGTGTTATCTCCCTAGCCCCATATGTAGAGTGATGACAGATCTGCTGTAGCATATGGAACGCTTACAAGATAGCTCTCAAAAAAAGAACCCTGTAAAAGTATCTTAATAAAAGTCCAATTCCTTCCATTAAGACATTGTTTTCTTTTGTTAATCATATAACTTGACAAACACTTGCGATATGCTGATTTTAAATTCAGTTTTATCAAGTATCCTGTCTACATATATCACAGTAGATTCCAACTGCTGCAGAAAAATAAATTTATGTTCATTGTAAACTGTTACTTTAATTTCCGTGTCCAAAGGACATGGTTCCTCATCTAATGTCATCTATAACATTATTTTTAAAGCTACTGAAAAAGATCCCTGTCCTAAAACTTCACATCTTCACTGAAAGCTGAAGTCATTCAGATGGCCTTTCCCAAATCTGTCAAACATTATTTTTACTCATAATGGGACATGTATGTAATTTTACCCCATATCTGAAAGAGAGGTGGCTTACCTGAAAAGGTCATTCTTTGAGCATTCACCAGGTGTCCAAATGTATGAGGTCTACGCCTGCTCAGAGTTTTACTTAGCATGCTATAAGGCTAAGGAAAGCTTTAGGCACAAGCCCATTCCCACAACACCTGATAGTATGGCCTCTGCCTTTTCCACTTACTCACTGCAGTAAATAAAGAACAGGAAGAGAACACCAACGGGAAAATGCTTGCATGGGAATAGAGGGTGAAATGTGTGAATGTACAAATGACCATTCAAATAACTGGTTGCAGGTAAGCAACACTCTTTCTTCTGTGTGGTCACTGTGCATCAAACACATGGGTGGTTAGCAAGCTAACTTATCAGAGGATGAACCAGTATCTCATGCGGACAAAGAAAGTATACAGCCTGGCCATGAGGAGCATTAGCTCTGTCCCATTATGTCCAGATTAATATTGGACATAATGGGCCAACATTAAATTTGAGGGCTGAGACCACATTACAGACTATCACAGTTCTGGGACTGAAGCTGTCCAGAGGAGTGCTGTCAAAGTGTGTAGTATGACTGCTCGCACTGTCTCCGGATCAGGTGGTTCAGCTATGTTAAGGGAGGCTGGAGGGCATCAATCACCCAGTGCAGAGGTGTTTTGGAGGAACTGGAAGTCCCTTTGTTGCTCCTTCATAGCAAACAAAGCAGTTTTGGATTTTACAGAACAGTAGCTACTACCTGCACTGCCAGCAAGTGATGCGAGATCTCTAGCCATGATGTCAAGCTGAGGAAAATCAGTGAATAGGAGAAAGGGTATCACCTTGGGAGGAGCAACATTTTAGTCTAGAGCATAGCCTCATCTCTGTGGACGGTGTGCATGTCAGGCGCAGGGTTTGTCTGCTTGACATGCAGAAATAATGGTGACCAGCAATACTGCTTTCAAGTCACTAGTCTGAGATCTCGTGTGTCTAGCAGCTCAAAAGGTTTGGCTGTCGGTTTGGCCAGGACTACATAGACATTCCACAAAGCCAAAAAGACGGCCTATGGGGTTAGCTTTTTGGGAGTTTCTTGTTGGTTCAGAGAAAAACTGAGGAACCATTTATGAAGCAGTGAGAATTTAAGACTGCCATTGAGTAAATATTCACTGATGGTATCAAAAAGAATTCTGATTTTAATGATGGGGGAAACTGCCACACTTATTATTTATTTAGCAGACTTATATGCCGCACCATTCACCTAAGCCTCGGGGCGGCTTACAAATAAATTGCAAATGGCAGTGAACTGGGTCAAAGCCATTACTGGCAGCCAATGATTTAAGGCAAGCCCATTTGGTTTTATAGATGTGGTGAGTGAAGCACTTGGTAGCCAATGAGATTTTAATAAAGTGAAGTGTACTTGATGTGAATGGATATTTATTTATTATTTAAAACCATTATGGAATGTTATGGCTTATTTTCTTCACTCCAGCAGAGGACAATATTAAATCTGTACTTTTACTTAATTGAAATGAAATTAAGTGTTTATTGCATAATTCTATGAAATGAGTTTAATAGCATTCTCTATTCAGTTTAGGACTGCAGCCTTAAAACGTGTTAGTTTTGTGCTTTTTTGGTGCCCATACCAAAAGAGTATGTAAAACACAACCGGTGACTCCAGATATCAGCATATTTTGTTTGCTTACTGTTAGGTGCTTCAGCTACAGAACATCAATTGGAAATAGAAGGGATGACCAAATGTGTACCGTACTATGGTGTATCTGATTTGAAAGAAATATTGAATGCTGTGATAAATAATAATGCAAAGGAAGTCTATGAGTGTAGACCTCTTAAAGTGGTGAACTACTTGGAGGTAAGAAAGAACAGTATTAGCTATTATTTTACAAGCTCTCTCTCTTAACAGATCAATCCCTCTATAGCTTGATATTTATATATAAAATTTTGCTACCTAAGGGATGAAACGCTGATGCCGGAAGCAGAAGTTAAATTTAATATCTAGAATTCTTCTGTTACTATCTGGTATCAGTTTGCAGTTAAATTAGATGCATGTGTTTAAGGCTGAAAATAACCTGACTACATCCATATTTTAACATTTCAGTGGACAGGGGAACTCATTTCTGAACACGTATACATAGAATTGAGCTTGAATCTTAGAAAAGATACATAAGAATATGGTTATGGATGCATCACTGCTTAAGTCTCTCTCTTGCTATAAAAATGAGCTAATCCAATTATTTGGCCAACAAAATAAGAATTTTAGTGTTTTTAATAATAGTATAATGATTTTTTTGTTTCCATAGGGAGAAGCAGTGCGACTTTCCCGGCAGCTACCTTTGTATTTATCAAAGGAAGATGTGCAGGACACCATATGCAGAATGGAGAAGCAACTGGGAAATCAACATAAAGGCTGTGTTCATGGTCGTCCATTTATTCATTATTTAACTGATATTCCACAGAAGAACTAGAAAGGAAATATTTTGTTCAAAATCATATTTCATACTTTTATACATGTTATTATGTATCTGATATTTTATAAAATATACAGACTGAAATGGTATTATTTTTTGCTTATGAAAATATAATGCTGAAAATTATCCATGTTCATTTTCAAGTGGAAGAATACTTAAAATCACAGTAGTTGGAAACTGATCCTAACATACAGGAATTTTATAACCCTCTTTACAAGTCTTTAGTCCATAAAGCAAAGCATGCAGTGCATTTATTATCACCAGAAAAACATAAGATGGGAGTATGATATTTAGTAATTAAAACAGAAAAGAATTAGGAGCAAAAACTTTCAGTTCTAAACAAAGACTCTACCCAATCAAGTTTATTTCTATATGATGTTACTTTCTGCAAAAAGAATGCAGAAATGCATCTAAGTAGAATTGTACATTAAGATACGCTTTTGATATAACGTGTATTCTAAGTGTTCTTGATAGAATTGTCTTGTTGGGTTGGAAACATAGCTAAGATGCAGAAGTTGCACATTAAAATATGAAATCTGATGTGTCTTTCCACTGGTGATGTCTTGTAAACCTGATATATAAATGGTTGTATTGGCATTTCAGAGTTCACTGGATCCTTGTCTAATATTTTCAAATGATAATAAATTAACAATAAACAGCTGTTTAAAGCACCCATTAAATACACATTAGCAGCATTACTTTTGCTAAAATGAGAACTCCGAATAAAATTCTGCTAATGCACAACTCTTGCTGAAAGCAAAGTAACTTTCCAGTCATGTTTGCAGCAAATGTTCAGTAACTTACTTAAGTAATGGTGGAATGTATGACTATGATGGCATATAATCATATACTGTAGCTTTCACTGTTCAGTTATAGCTTAATTAATCTCAGAATGCTACTATGGATATCTGCATGACATTTGGTCTACATTTGAAAGTTGGGATTGTCGTTTAAGGTTCACCTGTTGGTTTCTTCAGTGGTAGTTCCTGACTACAATGCAATACAATTGGAGTAAATAGGCTGGAATTTGTAGTATGTATACAAACACATGCCTGCACACATACCTTTCATTTTGGTAGGTGTATGCCTGCACAAATACCTTATATTTTGGATTAATAAATCTTCCATGAGCATAGACATAGGTGGTACACAAAAGCTGACACACAGCAAGTGAGACTTCTGCTCTAGTATGGCTACTTTGGCTGACAGTGGCTCTCAAGAGGTCATTCACCTCATGTCACCTGATTCTTCAAGAAATTAATGGTTACTTAACATACAAATGACATGTTGGTTGAAATAGTCTTCTAACCTGAGTATAGAAATAGGATATTTCTTCCACATGGAGTGTAGCAGAAGCACTATGCTGTACTGTACTTCTAATCCTCATTGCCTACTGAAGATACTGTACTTCTACTCCTCAATGCATTCCTGGAGCATTCTACAAGAGAGTGTGAGAAAAGAATAGTTTTACCAATATTTAGCCAGATCATTTGAACAGTAGCATGGTTTGCATTAGTTAAGCATCAGCTGGTTTAAGTGTCTAGTATATTCCAAAACTCTGCTGGGAATGAGGAATGTGTAGAAAATCCTTCCTTACTTTAGGGCAGTCTTTCCAACCATATTTGTCCTCTATGTTTTGGACCCAGCTCTCAGCTGTCCTAGTCAGCATGCCCAATGTCAGAATGATGGAATTGTAGGCAGAAATCCAGGAAAAGATTCTGGGAAGGCAGTTGAAATGGATAGCATCTCGGTTCATTCTAGTCGCTTAGATGAATACTTAGTCCTGCACAGAAGCACTAATGCCAATATTCCTATATCTTATTTACTATTTACATATTTCCAAAGATCATTAATAGCTGTGGGGTTAGCTGTGGCTCAACTAGATGTGGTTGTAGTTCTTTGTCTCTATAAATTAAACTACCCCAAAATAATGTAACAAAGTGGGATGGAGAGGCTGATAATAAAAGCAAAGGGCATGTGAACCAGGGAAAATGCTTGAACAAATGCTTCTGGAAATGCAATCTAGGTTTGCAGAAGGCAGCTCTTGACTTTTACCTGTGTGTCTCTTTTGCTACAGCCCTTCTCCTGATAGGGCAATATCATATATATCAAAGTAACAAGTTACTGCACACATACCTTTTATTGAGTGGCAGCTGGACTAGGAGTCGCAAGAACTGGTCTGAAATTCAGGTTATAAATATTTGGGTGGGAAGGAAGGTTGTCGGGCACTTCGGTTGCCTCATAGCAACCTTCTCTGCCTCGGATCTCTCCAGTTTCGTTTCTCTTGGCCTACAAAATGTTCAGGGCCATTGCCTAAGTCAACTTGGTAGCTTCCCGTCTGTACAATTAGGGACCTGTGGGTAGGCACGCCTTTCAGCAATTGCCTCTCAGGGAAGTTTAACACCAAACATAATAAGGCTGTGATCCTATACATGCTCACCACACAAGAAATCCCAGCGAACGCTGTGGAACTTCTGAGGAAATACGCATAGGATCGAGCATAAATCCAACTGGTGGGCGCATCAGGATCGGGCAGCAGATTGCGCAATCTAAAAAAGAAGCGCACAGAACCATCACCCCGAGGGGGGTACTTTCGAAGGGCAAAAGTCTCACCTCCAACCTGCTGCGGGGTTTCTTTTGTTCCCTCTCCTCTCGTCGTCAATCCGCTTCGGCCCCTGGCCCAAGAAGCGCCGCGCCAACCTGCTCCGCCGAGACCGCCCAGCTGCCTCGTGGCAGAGCGGAGCCCTCGTCCCGTCCTCTTCCCTCCCGCTCGTCTCTGACGGGCAGCACGACATCTGAAAAACGTCGGAAGATGGGAGAGCAGAAAGGAAAGGACGAGAAAACGCCGCACAGGGGTGCTTAGCACGACTCAGCCGTGCTGGGGCGGCCTTTCCCTCCTTGGCCTCGGTGCCTGGAGCGCGCTTGCTAGGAACGAGCCTCCCTCGGGAAGGGTGCGAGAAGAAAAGCGCTGAGGTGAGTGGCCTCTGCCTTCGGGTTTCTCGTGCACCAAAGACCACCAAGCGCCAAAGCGGACAGTTAGGGAGAGGCCTTCGCTTGGTCATGTGGGTCAGGCTGTAGGACTGGCGAAGAAACGGCGAATTACTTCGTTTGGGAGGGTGTGCAGGAATGGACGGATCAATAGTTACGGAAGCCATTGCAGTAACGTTGCTGGAGTGGGTGTCAAAAGCCATCCAAATGTTCGAAGGCCTGCTTTTGGATTAATGCAAGCTTAAAGTGGAAGCGAAAGAGTACCCAGTACTGGCCACCCCAGGAGGCCGTGCTCAATTCTGAACCTCATAGGCCTTTCCTACATGAGGGGTTTAACACGCTGCTTAATTGTAGCTTCTTTTCCCATTTCCATTGTGGGAGGAAAAGTGCCTCGTTTATACGGGTCGCCTCCCCCCCCCCCCCCGCGTTTGTATTACTGTGTCATCCTATGTATTCTATTAACCACACACAAGCTGGTGTTAGGGGATACATGCATTATAGCAGAGCTGCGATCATACACGAGGTTTTTGTGCTAGTCTGAATTTTAATAGCTGACTTACCTTGCACTTTAAAAAAAACTGCCCTGCAGACTTTCATGAAAGATCATGAAAGCACAATAAGCACCTTGTGAAAAGTCCATGATAAACAGAGACACAAACGTCCCTAAAGAATCATTACACATGGTGCTCAATGCAGGCAGCTTAGAAGTGGCCATAGAAAGATTTCAGAAAGACAGGATTTGAAAGGCTTGTAGGTAGTGAAATTAAATTTCCAAAAGTGCTTTTTATTTTAAATAAATGGGGTCATGATACTCCTGAGCTCTGCTTGTCTAAGCTCTGAAGGTTGACAAACTACCATTATAGCATTATAACACATTTAGTACTGACATTCAGGGCCTGATAGCTCTCTAGAGTGATTATACTGAGTCAGGCCCTTGGTTTGTCAAGCACTGTCAACACATTTAGTGTTGACACATTGTTGACACATCCAGTATTGTCAACACTGATTGGCAGTGCCTCTCCAGAGTTTCAGACAGCAATTTTTCCCACCCTACATGAAGATGCTGAGAATTGAACTTGGGTGCTTATACTACTGACCTAATGGGTAGGAAGAAGCTTATCTAGGTTCAAACCTGAACTGGCCATGTGAGGTTGTGCCCTTACTAATTCCTCATCCCTCTTCTCTGTGATGGGGTTGAGGAATGAATGCACCACATTGTTCTTCACTAACCTTCTTGTCTCCCTTATTTCAGGATAATTTTAAGTTTTGGCAGCCCTAACCTCAGCAGAAAGAGGATTTGAAGACTTTATTAATAAGGATAAGAAAAGGATGTTTCCCGAGAACTCTTTAGCTTCAAACGGAGCAGAGCTCTTTAAGGCTTATAACATTCCCCTGATTTCCAGGATTTCCATAGGGGTGAATAGCTGAAGTAAACCAATGTTATCTCCTCTCCCCCCACTCCCTTGCCTTGGCTCCAAGTTTGCTAGATACTGTTTATTTATATGTCCTGCTTATAAGCTTCCCAGAGGCATCTGACTGGAAGCATAGTTCTGGATTGGATTGAGAAAAGTGAGTTGCCCAAGAATACAAACCAAGGCCAAACTGCACATTGCCTGGGAAGTCTGTGATTGCTGTTGCTAGTTGCGAAGTTGTGTTCGACGTATTGCAACCCCATGGACAACATTCCTCCAGGCCTTCCCATCCGCCACCATTCCTTGGAGTCCACTTAAGCTCACATGTCCCTCCTGTATAGGCCTGGTTTGTCCCAGATGTTCCCTAGTGCCTAACAAATGTAAATGGAGAAGGGTTTCTTTTCATTCTAAAAAGTACAGCCAGAAACTAATATTTTTGCAAATTGTATCATTTACTACTCAATACAAAGAATTCCATACCATTTTTAAACAGTATCCAACTGTTTAAAAGTATTAGTGAGATCTGTTAAACACTATAATATATGTATTTTTACTTAATTGTTTCAGAGGAACATTAGTTTCCCTTTTTACTTATGCTTAAATGCTCTAGAGAGCACATTAAGCATTACTGATTGTTTAAAAATGAAATTATTTTATCACATTTGGTTAAGGGCACATGGTTGCAAATGATATAAAATACTTATTTCAAATAAATGTACAATTTCAAGCTTGATTATCATTTATAGCTTATCTAAGATAGAGATATATTACTGCTATGAATTTGATACTCAGTTACTTCATAATTATCATGGTTTTCTGCAGTGAATTTGATATACAACAGTTGGCAAAGAAAGGCTGCTCAGTTGTGTGACTAAAGATTTTATGGAACACATCTGACATAATTAGTTCAGCATGTGCACAGTATAAGAATAAAATCTCGAATTAAATTTGTGGACTATAGTCCATGATAGTTTATGCCATAATAATTCCATTAGTCCATAAGATACAACAAGATTCTTGGTCATTTTTATATCATATATGTTACATATGAATCCAAGTCAATGCAGATTTGCTGTTTACATTATTCAGGATATGTGCAATATAATTTCAGAACTTTCAAAGAGGAAATTGAATTTGGATTCTGTTTAAAAGCTCAAGCAAACTGTTCACACCTGTTAGGTTTAAAACAGCTGTTTCTGTTATTATCAATAAATAGATGCAAAAGTAATTGAATGTTTTAAGGAAATAAGACTAAATTTCAGTAGAAAATAGCCTCACAATGTA